GCGGGCACGCAAACCCGGCGGCACCTCCTCCCCCTCTGGGATGGCCCTGGCTGCCGACACCCTTTTACCGGGAAGCAAAACCTGGTTTCGTGCGGTCGCTGGGCTCTGACCCGGCACAAACTTTGCGCTGCTGGGTTTGCTGCATAGCCCGACCGGTCTGCGGTTTGTGCGAACAACGGTGATAATAAAGACAGTATAGAAAGATGAAGGTATGGTATTTCGCTTCATTACGTCTCGCACCTGGGGTTTTGCCCCATGAAATTTCAGAAGTTTTGCCGTTCTCTTTTTTTTGACTGCTCTTTGCAGAAGTGCCGGGTTTGAGTTGTGCTGTATTGCAAAGCTGCTGAGGAGTCTAGAGAAGAAAAAGTTCCCCCGCATCTGCTTCCTGAATGTGTTCTCGTTTCATGTTAAACGAAAATTGGGCAATGTGCAGTAGCTGGTTAGCTGGTGTGTTTCAGCCTTTCGAATAGTCGCGTCACTAACTTTCAAAGTCGTGTTGCCGTAGTGAATTCATCTATTTCTCAAGTGCAGGCTACGTTAAGATCCAGCTTTTGCCACCTTTTTCCCCTCCTTTCCCATCTTAAGAAAGGGCTGGAAAAGCTGCTGGCATTGGTCATGCTGAGGAGATTTTTCTCTCTCTCTTGATCTTTAGCTCATAAAACTTTATAAACGAATACTATAGCTATTGAGCAAGTCTTTCTGCAGTACCTCAGCTAGCCTTGTTTGCATTTCTTTATTGCCTACAAATATTGGAAGTCATCCTGTCTTAACTTGCGTGTGTTGCAACATCTTTCGCTGCTATCTTAATCCTGTAAGTCTTAGTACTAGAAGAAAAAAGCTTCTATTTGTGTCCCTCCCTTTATTTTTAAGTCGGCGTGTGTGGCTGCAGGGAGACTGGTAAACGCATGTAGTAAACTTTCTTTCTTGCTTTCCGATAAGGAATTGTGTGACCCAGCTCTTGTTGAAATCACTATTTGGAGCCTTTCCATTATTTTTAGAATAACTATTGACCTCAGAGTGCGTGGCTGTAAAAGAAAACAGTCTTGGCTTTTCTTTTCTTTTTTTTTTTTTTTTTTTTTTTTTGAGCTTTGAACACTAGGGATTTTCAGACAGCGTGGAAGACTCCTTCAGATTTTTAAGGGAATTGTCTCCTCAGTTTTTAGCTGTGGCTGGAAGTTAGTCTGTGTCTGCTAGGCTGAAGTCTAGTACTGCACTTTAGCTTAAATTTAAGCTCATACTTGAAACCAAGTAGCTGTGCAACTTCTACACAAACAGGCTCTTACTGGTACTGAACTTTGAGTTTATGCCTGTGGAGACTGATCTCTTTGCCTCCTGAAATAGCCAGAAATACTGGTATGCAGCGTCCTCCAGACGTAGGCCCGCGTCCTCTCCGTTGTTGAAGAAGGATCGGCACAGACATGATGCAGTCTGGAATGCCTGCAGATTCCCTCAAGCCGTTGGAGGGGAAGGAAAGGTAGCGACGAACAGCGAGCTCAGCGATGTCTGCAGTTAAATGTTAGGTAGAAAACTGAACGGTTGTGCAGTATGACTAGCAAAAGGTCTTTAGTAAAATGAGCCTTGTTTTGTGGTTTCTGTTAAGTCTCGTGTGTCACTTGGCTCCTACAGCTTTGTTGTTGCTTTGGTGAATTTTTGTTTATCGTCTGTTCTTTACATGAGCACTAGAGATTAAGTAAATTCAGTTGAGCTAAAGCTATTTGGATTGACTAGCCTGACAACAAAGGAGTATAATTAGTTCTTGAACCCTCAAGCTGCTGTTTCATAGTCTATTTTGACCTGCTAGATACCAAAATAAAGCATATTTAGAAGTCCGGTATGAAAGACCTATTCCAGGAATCAAAGTGATAGTCTTGTATCAGGGTGCTATGTGGTGCCTGACAGAGGGTGTAACTATAACACCAAGTGACTGAACACAACTTTATAAAAACTGAAAAAGGTTTCTCATACACGCTCTGTTTTTAAAAGAATTGCATTTGATAGTCTGTCTTCCAGTATACAAGTACATGGAAATACCAGTTTCCCTTCATTGGCCCATGGCAAAGCCCTGGCAAGTGGTTACTCCTGGAAGTGCGCCTGCCGAAGTTGAACTGCTAAGGATGTCAATGCGCTCCCAGTCTTGGCCGTAGCATTGTGTTGGGAAAGATGGCTGCATCGTGTAGGAGATAGGCAGTATCAAAGCATAGCTGGTATATTCCCATGGAAATAACGATTTTTCCTCTATTCCCCCTTTCCAAAAGTCTGCGGACTAGAAACTTCTTTGTATTTAGGTAATTTGTATATTATCATAAGACCAATGACAAAATCTGCTCGTGGGGTCTATGATGATAAAAATGCTTTTTTTTTTTTTTTCTGTGGGAAAAGAGGTGACTAAACCTTTGTGGAGTCCCATAACGATTCCTTTATTGGTAATCCTGTTAATAAACTTCATCACAAAGATTATCTTAAGAAAGATTTAAAATACATGTTTAGAATGGGAATGATTTATTTTTTTAAACAAGTATTTAATTTGGGGGCTTCTCAATAGCTAGGTATACAAGAGTAAAGTGGGAAGCAAGCTACCACTTGTTTAATAGATTGTAATTATAATAATTAATGTGTTTCTTTACTTGGCATTATGATGTTTATTTTTAAGCATTTCTGTTATGCCCAGAGAGAACATTTTAAGTTGATTAAAGCATTTCAAATTCTTGTTCTTGGAATCTAGAGAGTCTATGAATGGCAACTAAGGAAAACAAATGGATTGCCTACTAGCTTGGGTTTTCTATCAGGGTCCACACCAGGAAATTTTTAGGGTTCTGAAAATTCACATGGGTAGAAAACTAGTAGCTTATGTTGGTCTTCATATGAGTTGAGCTTTGATGATGTTAGCTCTGTACTAAAGTGAAGTCTGGAAGATGACTTGAAAACCAGAGCAAGTTTGATAAGTCTGGATCTGCCTGCCTGCAGACGTTCTCTCCAACCAGTCTTGCACCTTGTTCAGCTAACCCAGTTTCAAAACTAAATTACCATAACGCCTGATATGGGATGATAAGATTTGCTCTTGCAAGCTATATTCTCTCTTAAACAGTCTAAATGGAAACAACAGAGAAGATTCTGATGAAAAGAAGCATTTAGTTTTACGTCTTCTATATGTCTTTGTCTATACTTCAAATTGACTTTCTCAGGAAAGCGCTGATGAGTCAAGTGTGTCTCAGAGGTGTCGGAGTTCCTGGAAGATGTTAATAACCTTGTTGGAAGATGCCAAGAACCTTGTTTGGTCTGGCTTTTTATTCGGTCTGTTTCTGGCTTCACAACTTCTGAATTTTACCACCTGCAGAGGCATAATTTCATAGCAGTTCCTGCTCAGAGTGCACTTAATGTGTTCATATAAGCAGAGATTTATAAAAGCACATCAGATGTTAATAAGAAAATGATTACTGTGTAATGAATTTCAGTGAAGATTCATTAATGTACAAACCTGTGGTTGACAGTCACTTGGGCACTTGGAGATTTCTTTTAAAAGAGCATTTGCTAATACTAGGCTGACTCACTGCTTAGTACCTTCTGAGCTCAGAAGCACTACTGTTTTGTTTCTATATTGTTTCCATTCTTGACTGACTTCCTTGAATTACTCTTACATACAAAATTAACCAAAAATTATGCCAGCCGATGACTTCCTTAAATTATGGAAGTGCATGGTTATGTTCCGCTGCATACATACATATTTTTGAAAGGAAAAAAAAAGTATACAATGTGTTTGTCTCATTTTAAATATAATGTTAAGTAGAACAGAATACTTTAATTTTCTCTTCTTTTGTCTCTTCTTTTTGGTAATTTTTTGCCTGCTTTTGCTTGCAGAAAAGAGGGACCCAAGACCTAAAACCTAATGTGAATTTCTCTGAAACTCAAAGTAGTTCGAGTCGGATTTAGATTTGAATGGGCAAGGCTTTTGCTTTATTAACTCTTAAGATGTCGTATAGTAACTACGTCCGTGCCTTAGGTGTTGACACCTTTGTTTTATTTCTTCTTTTTGCTGCAGGATATTTCTTCTAGTGGGAGCTCCAAAAGCAAACACTACCCAGCACAACATCGTAGAAGGAGGCCAGGTGCTCAAGTGTAACTGGAATTCAAACAGAAACTGCCAGCCGATTATATTTGACTCCACAGGTAACGTGTTGTTCGCCATGGGGGGAGATGGGCTGCCTCTGCTCTAATCCTGGCGTGAGAGCGCAGAAGGGATTCAGATTCACGTGGGGTTTCTTGACGGTCTGTGTGAACGCAGCCTTTTTTGGACTGGCAACTAGTCAAGGCTTGTTGTTGTGATTTTTTTTTTTTTTTTTTTTCCCTCTGTCTTTTCTCTTTTAGAATTCTCTTGTCCTTGGTATGTGCCGAAAGCCTGAGTGAGCATACATTATTCTTCTTTTGTTTTGACCTATATATATTTCTCCTCTGTACTTTCCAGCAGTCCTAAAACATTTAGCAGCCTAATTCCCAGTAAACCCCAAGGGGTTTATTGCCTATTAAGAACATGGCACGTGAGAAGAGATACTTTCTAGTATCAGCAAAGGTGGTATAGGCAGAAATACGCAGAAGTTTAATCTGAAACTGGGAGTATAAACTTCAAACTGTGGAAAAAATGTATTTTTTTTATTTTTCCCCTCAGTATTTGTCTATAATATTAATATATTAATATAGTATTAATAGTATTTGTGACATTTATGATAGCAGCACTCAGGGTGCCTCAGGTCAGAGGCATTACTTACCCATTTCTGAAGCATACTAAAGCTGAGCAGCAGCAATGCTGACATTAAACATTTCACTCGGGCTTCATGCTCTGGTACACATAGTGATTTCCATAAGCTGTGGCAGGTCATATGAGCACGCGCTGCATGTGCTTTCCTGCTTCAGCCATTCAGTGTTGAATCCTGTTTTCCACAGCGTGTTTCAGGCCAGCGGAAAAACCTTTCCATGTCATGGGAGTGGATTAGCAAGACCCATGTGGTAGGGCAGAGGAAACACCTGTGCTTTTAAAGGTCTAGTTGGTTATAATTCGTTCTTACCTTTGCTGGTATTTTGACTTGGCAGTCTAAAGGCTATTAGATTTATGCAGCCTTCGTAGATCACGTACGATACAGCGGAGAAGCTGCTCTTGCAATTCCATTGTCAAGGTATACCGCAAAACGTGGGTGGTGGTCAGATTTCTGAAATCCCCATATATTTTTCTGAAAACTATTATGTTACCAGTTCTCTTGCAAAAAAAAAAAAAAAAAAAGAAGACCAAAAGGGAAATACAAAAACCCAAGCAACAACAATCT